GGCGGGAGCCGGCGCGACTGTGCGGCTACCTGCAGAAGCTATCCGGCAAGGGCCCGCTGCGCGGCTACCGCAGCCGCTGGTTCGTGTTCGACTCGCGCCGCTGCTACCTCTACTACTTCAAGAGCCCGCAGGACGCGATGCCCCTTGGCCACCTGGACATCGCCGATGCCTGCTTCAGTTACCAGGGCCGCGACGAGGCTGCAGAGCCCGGCGCCGAGCCTCCCGCGCACTTCCAGGTGCACAGCGCGGGAGCCGTCACGGTGCTCAAGGTGGGACCGCGCAGGCTCCGCAACCTATCCCCCTGTCCCAGAACCCGGCTTCCCCTCCTCAGCCTCCGCGGCTGCTCCCTACCCTCCTCTGCTCACGCTAATTCTGTCCGTCGGACTTTCTACATCCACCCTCCTTTCTCAAAGGCTTCCTTACATCCTGCCCTGCTTTGCTTTCCTTTCCCCACATCTCAAATTCCGTCTCCACTTCCCCGTCTCATGCCCTTCATCTGGGTTTAGGCCAACGTGTCCCCTCCCTTCCTAAGACACTTTGACCTGTCATTTACCTCTGTGCAGTCCCTGGGCCTTCCTGCCCTCTTCCCCTCCCATTCCATGGATGTCCTCTGAACCCTCCCCTGCTAACGGGACTGCAGCCTTCTACCTCCAGGGGCTCGTTTATAAACTACTGGGTGTGTGACCTTGGGTAAGTTATATAACCTTTGTGAGCTTCACCTACCTCTTCTGTAAAATGGGGATAGTAGTAGTATCTACTAGGAGACCTGGTGGCGCAATGGCTAAGTGCTCAGCTGTTAACCAAGGATTGGCGATTCGAACCCCCCCCCCGCCCCCAACCTACCCGCGGCTCTGCGAGAGGAAAGACCTGGCCGTCTGCTCCTGTAAAGATTACAGCCTAGAAAACTCTGTGGGGGCAGTTTTATTCTGTCCTATAGGGACACTATGAGTTGGAATTGACTCGACAGCACGCAACAACAGTAATATCTACTGTGTAGGGTTGTTGGGATTAAATGAATTATACAACAATGCGCTTAGTAAATGTTACTGCATTTAGTGCTATAGACAAAGAGAGTTAGGGATGGCAGGGCCCTTAGGGATAATCCACTACAACCCCCTCCAGTGTGGGCAGGGACACTCCAGCTAAGGTCACACACAGCCAGTAAAGTGGCAGAGCCTGTTTTTTTTTTTTTTTTTTTTTTTGCTCCTTGTTTTAGCTGGGAGAGGTGAGAAGATTGCTTCAACCAGCTATGCCTTGCTCATTTATCTTCTGGTGGAGAGACACAGTGTTGGGGATATAGTGTGGAAGAACTGGCCTAGAGTCAGGAGTCCTGGTCCTGGTACAGAGAATCTCCCCAGTCTCTGGGGGTCCCTAGGAGACTAGACTCCATCATCTTCCAGGGTCACTCTCCCTCCCAGCACCTGGGGGTCTGGGCCCTGGCCTGGAGCTGGTTCACCTCACTTCTGGCCGTACTCCTTGCCTGGTTCCTGTGAGTCTCCACCCCCCTCTTTCTCACTTCTCTTCCGTATTGCCAGCTGGGCTTTCTCCAGAGCTGTGGGGCTGGGCCGGGATGTATAAAAGCTCTCAGAAGAGCTGGCCAAGTGCAGAGCAGAGTGGGCTGTGCCTAGCGCCCTGGCCTTGTGAGCACAGGGCTGTTCTCTGAGACCTCCAGAGCTGGCAGCAGCTGGAGCTGCACCCCTGGGTCATTTTTGGAGTTTTGTCGACCCTGCTCTTGCCGTGCTGAGCAGGTCGGATTCCCATGTTCTTTGAGGCTCCCCCATCCCATCTCTAGGTGCAGACAGCTGTTTCTCCAGAGAAAGCCAAGCAGGGTTGCAGCTCAGCTGGGGCTTACTTAGAGCGCATTTTGTACAAACTTGGGAGTGACCTCAGTGAGTACACAGGGACTTCTTGCCAAAGGCAGAGGCTTGTCCTCAGTGTACACGTGGACCATTCCTGTGTCAGATGAACTTCCTGTGGAATTGTTTGTTGAAAAGAAAAGAGACATCCTGTGTCAGATCTTCTCAGATGACATTGGAGCCCTCCATCAGTTTTTTATTAAAAGAAATCTGAGGCCACAAGGCATAGTGTCACAAGGAGTGTGGCTTTAGAGTTGGATGGGCTTGAACTGCATAAAATTGAGCAAGAAAACCAAAGTTACAGAATGATTACATACAGAATGAGAACATGTATATAAAGATGAAGATCATGCAGAACAACATGATGGATCATTTAAGGAAATATGCTGTTTGGTGAGTGTGAAGGCCTGCATGGGGCTGATGAGCCCTGGATTGAGGATGGCGGTTTCCTCCAGGGGAAAAGAGGGCAGTGTGATTGGGGATGGGTGCCCAGGCTCCCACGTCTTTGCAGTGCTTTATTTTTTGGGCTGAGTGGTGGGTACACCAGCATTCATTATATTCTATCTTTTTGTGTGTTCAGAATATTTCTTTTTAAAAAAAGGAAATCTACTTTCATATGGGTTACAGGCTATGTGGGACTATTTTGATGTGTAAAGTTATGTTAGTCACAGAACAGGACAGAATACCTGAGGTCAAGTGTCTGCTTTACACAAACAGTGGAAATGGGAACACAGGCAAGGCTTTCCAGGAGGAGCAGTCAAGATGTAGGGCTTCTGAGTAGGAGTACAGTCTAAGGATGAGTCTCAGTGTACAGTGATTCATTTTGAGTTGTAGAAGTTAAACATTTTATGGTGGAAAAAAAGAAGAAGCTATCTGCTCCTGTAAAGATTACAAAAAAAAAAAAAAAACCCAAACCAAACCTGTTGACGTCAAGTCGATTCCAACTCATAGTGACCCTATAGGACACAGTAGAACTGCCTCATAGGCTTTCCAAGGAGTGGCTGGGGGATTTGAACTACCAACCTTTTGGTTAGCAGCCAAATGCTTAACCACTGTGCCACCAGAGCTCTTCTTAAAGGTTATAGCCTAGAAAACCCTATGGGGGTGGCACCTAACAACAACAACAAAAGTAGAAAGTAGCTATTTGTCTTCCTTCTCAACCTTTTAAGTTCAAGAACTGATTCCCCTAAGCATTTTTCATACCTCACTTTAGGGCATCCCAGACATAGGAGAGACTCTGATTTCTGACAGGGGATTGTAGGTCAATGAGGATCACACCCACCCGTTGTTGTCCGACTCATAGCGATGCTATAGGACTGCCCCATAGGGTTTCCAAGGAGCAGCGAGTGGATTCCAGTCTCTTAAGCACCGTGCCACCAGGGCTCCAATGAGGATTAAGCCCTGCTCAGATTTTAGCTTGTTGTTAGGTGCTGTCGAGTAATTTTACAGATACCATTTCTTTTGACAGATGGGTTAAAAAGAAAAGAAAAATCAGCAATTTGCTTATTGTATTGTCATATGTTTCTTGTTTTAAAGCATCTTTCAGCCTTCTCTGGAGAAGCTGTGGTTTCGTTGGATTTGTTTCAAAATTTTGTACTGCTTGAATCTTAATGAAAGCCGATATTGGAATTTTTGGTATACTTCTCTATTTCCAAACTCAGGGATCTGGTCCAGTTTCTTATTTTACAGACAAGGGAAAGGAAGCCAAAGAGGGGAGGTGATTTGCCTGAGATCATGAAGCCAGACTCAGACCCTGTTTGAAAATAGAAGCTCCCAGCACAGCAGTGTCCCAAACGCAAAGTATCTGATTGTATTATCTATCCTGACAAGTCTACCTTTTTGGATATTGGATATTAGTTGTTTTGAATTAGATGAGGTAGTGGATTTTCTTTTTATTGCATTTGATTTCTGCCCTTTTTATGCAACAGGAGAGCACCAGCAACATTTTCCTGCCTGATTTTTTACCAGGATGTGCAGTACCTGTAATTGGACATTTGGAAACTATTTTAAGGGTCAGGCAGAGGTGGATGGCTTTCTGTGTGGAGTGTGTGTGTATATGTGTGTGTGTGCACGTGCGTGTGCGCACGCGTGCTGGAGGCTTCTGACTGAGCTTTGCTGGGATCTGAGGTGGGGGAGGCAGCTCTGAGGTGAACTGACACTTTGGGGAAGGAGGGCATGTGACTGACTGAGGGTAAACCTAGAACAACCCTGCTCTGCCAGATCCCTGCCATCTCAGAGCGTCATCAGACCATCAACAAATGAATTCTGCTCCCCCTGCTCCCTCTCCTGAAGGCATTTGGTGCTCAAATGGATGTGTGTGTTAGTTTCCGAGTCACGCGTGTAACTGGACAGTCATGCGTCCCTACTCTTAACCCACTTTTGTGGGAAGGACATGCATTCTCTGGTGCTGAAACTACTTTTGGCTTAACAACAAACATTTGTTAGCTTGGGTAATCATAGCGTGCTCAATACCAAATATATGTGGTGAGCCAGCTTTCCTTGTGGTTCTGCTAAGCCATTCTGCCCTGGAACATCTGCTTTGGGGTCTTGAACTACTTTAAGTCTTTTCTTTTATGGGGACTTCACTTTTCATTGGAGCCCTGGTGGCGCAGTGGTTAGGAGCTATGGCTGCTAACCAAAATGTTGGCAGTTCAAATCCACCAGCTGCTCTTTCAAAACCCTATGGGGCAGTTCTACTCTGTCCTGTAGGGTTACTGTGAGTTGGAATCAGCTCCACAGCAATGGGTTTTGTTTTTGGTTTTTGAGCTTTTCGTGAGTTTGTTATTGCTTCCCAATTAGTTAGTTCCTTAAAGGGAAGTATGGTATCATGCGCAGGATATCACACATGGTATCTTAGTTACCTAGTGCTGCTGTAACAGAAATACCACAAGTGGGCGGCTTTAATGAACAGAAATTTATTTTCTCACAATTTAGAAGGCTAAAAGTCCGAATTCAGGGGCACCAGCTCTAGGGGATGGCTCTTTTCTCTCTGTCCACTGTGGGGGAAGGTCCTTGTCTCTTTTCAGTTTGTATTCCCAGGTTCCTTGGCAATCATTTGACATTTATCTTCCTCTCAGTCTGTGCTTGCTTGCTTAATCCACTCTTATATATCTCAAAAGAAATTGATTTAAGACACACCGTATACTAATACTGCCTCATTAACATAATAAAGAAAACCCATTCTCAAATGGGTTATAACCACAGGTATGGGGATTAGGATTTACCACACATATTTTGGCGGGACACGATTCAATGCATAGCACGTGGCTTTCCATCCCTTAGTGTTTCTCACACAAGGCCACATATAGGATAGTCTCCACTGGCCAGCTCACCGGAGTGTAAGCTCCATGAGGACTGCTGTTTGCATCCTCAGCTCCCAGAATGGTCCTGGCACAGAGTAGGCACCCATGGTA